ATACTGCATTCGGTTAATTTTACCATTAATGCATTCTATAGGAGAACATGAGGAGGGGATGTAAAAAATATATCTATCTAATAAAAGAGGTACTCTAATATAAAAAAAGGTTGATGGAATAGTTTTGAATTATAATGAGAGCAAAATTTTGAACAATAAGTGGAGACCCAAGAGCTAGATTTTTAAGAGTTTAATAGTCTTGAGTTCGCAACTTGAAGATCTTGAGATTGATCATTAGTAGTATTAGGAAGTTTGGTACGGTTGTTGTTGTGATCACGCCATAACGCACCAGGATCAGGGTCTTCTGGAAGATAGCCAGAGGGATTCACTAGTATTTCAACGTACCAGAGTAGAGTAAGGAGAGCAGGCCAGAAGGGTTTGTAGTCCTTGATTTCAAGAGGCAGCAGGGAGATTGCATTATCAATTGGATGGACGTCAGGAGGAGCATGGGGCAGAGCATCCCAGAGAGTTGTTGGAATTGCTGGACAGTTATATTTGTTGAAATGACGACGGGAGGTGTGGTCTTGAGTACACAAGCATTCGTGAGGGTTACCAGGTAACCAGCCCATACGCCATCTGATGAGCCTACTTCTATCGGTACGGGTGGCCGGGAGGTACAGAACGGGGTCGAGACCAATTTCCGGGCGACATGCTCTAGCTAACACCTGGGAGGTACTGCCAAGGAAGGTGGTGAGCCTGGTTTGACGAGCCTCAGCCAAATACGAGAACAGCCCATCACGGGATTCTGTGGCATAGGTAGGGAGACTGGTGTACAAGTTATTCTTCTTAAGAGAGGATTGTAGCAAAGACCTTGAAGACATGTTTTCTTGGAGGCGAACCAAGAGACAATCCTTAGGCAGGTGGTGGACACGGAGACAGAATTTTGTTACCAGAACATCTGCACGCCAAGAAACCGAAGGCAGATTTATCATGATTTTGAGAACTTGAGTGGAAGAAGTGGGGTGACCCCCAACCATCAGCCGAAGACACCGGTCTTGTATCTTTTCGAAGAGAGCCAGATCTTTTTTAAGCAAATGAAGAATGGCTAGGCCATATTCAAACTTGGGACGGATAAAGGTCTTGTACAACTTTGAACTGAGTAGCAGAGAGAATCCAGAGCGGTGAGCACCCATCTTGTGTAGAGTAGCCATAGCAGCCATTGTACCAGGGGCTCGTAGCTTTGCCATAGCATTACCGGAGATACCAGACTTGATAAAAGGTACACCTAGATATACAAATTCATCGACTTGTGGAAGAGTTACATTATACAACTTCAGAGGATCCAAAGGTACACCAGCAGGAGTTCGACCAGGGGGATGATTTATGACGGCACATTTAAGTGGGTTCCATCTATAACCAAGATCCGTGGAGTGTTGAGCAACAGCGGCTAGCATCTGATGGACTTCACGTCTAGTACCAAATATAGCAACATCATCGGCAAATAGCAGCGAGTTGATGGCGACAGTTTCAGAAGCAGAAGAACTAGTAGCTGGAATAGTGACTCTAGTAGTCTTATCAGAAGCAAAAGAACGTAGCAGGTGAGGCAGAGAATTAATGTATATAGAATACAATAAAGGACTCAGAACAGAACCTTGCAGAACACCAGTAACAGGAGAGAACGATGGTGATGAACAATTACCAATTAGAACCGAGACAAACACATCATCAAACAAGTGACGAAGTAGGGCAAGGAGAGGCAGAGGAGTACCAGAGAGTCGAAGAGCCTTCCAGATAATATCTCGGGAGACAGTATCATACGCCTGCTTGATATCCAAAAACGCAACTACTGGGTAATGCCCCGATGTTGGTGATGATAATCTTGGATAAGATCATGTAAACACAAAGCCTGGTCGAGAGCACTACGCCTGGTACGGAAACCACCTTGGGCAATATCAAGTTTTGGTGAGTATTTTGTAACAGCAGTTTGAAGTACCATTTCTAAAAGTTTTCGTAAAGCAGAAGTCAAAGAAATTGGCCTATAGTTACTTGGAAGAGTAGCATCACCTTTCTTGTGTATTGGGAATACTTGAGCTTGACGCCAGGAACGAGGAACGGTTGACCAGGACCAAGACAGCTGAAAAAACAACGAGAGCAAGGAAGCTAAGCGCGACTTTATAGGTCGAAGCATTTCGGCACGGAGGTGATCAGGTCCGGGAGCCTTACGCTGGGGCAAGCACATGATGTAGTTTTCGATTCGAGAAGAATCGAAAATACCAGAAGCATGAGAGTCAGGAGCAGTAGTGATTGGTAGAAGAAGAGAAGTATCAACGTTGTTGGACAATGATGTGTTGATATGACGACCATCATAGACTTCTTGTAAATGATCACACATAACCTTAGCAGCAGTGACAGGACCATCTGGATGGGAAAAGTACCCGAGCTTTCGTGCTTACGCTTTGAATACTTTATTTGGGCTGTAGCTTTGGAGAAGTCAGTTTCAAGGGACCGGCAGTAGTCTCGCCACGACAGGCGTTTTGCAGTTAAGACTTCAGACTTGAACTTTTTAGACGCTTGAAGATACTTAACCCAGTAGTCTAGCTTGTGAATTCCAGAGGCTCGCCGCCACTTCTTGTACCAATGATCACGTACACCAGCAGAAGCTTGAAGACTAGGAGTCCAGTATTTGTGCCAGTGAGACGGCTTACGAGGTCGTGTACCAAGACTTGAATCTAGGGAGCTGTAAACAGCATCACAAAGAAGGCCTTCCAAGTAGTCGAAATCAGGTTTGCTTGTAACGGAATTCAGGGTCGCATCAACTTCCCTTTCTAGTGTCTCATGTAGGCTGTGAGTATTAGTATGAAACTTAGAGGCGTATAGCTGAGCTACATCTGGTTCCTTTAGTTTTGACAGTTGCCAAGTTCTTCTAGGAGGAATAGCCTCAGGAGCAGGAGCAATATCTTGATCTATTTCTAACCCAAAAGAGAGAGACAGAAGACAGTGATCGGAACCCATGGTAAGTTCATCATATACCTGTATTGCTGCATTCTGTAGTATATTAACATTATTAGTAAGAAAATAGTCAATTATACTTTTATGTTCAACTCCATCCATCATCTTGCGATAAGTGAACTTCTTGTAGGCAAGTGAGGCATTCAAAGAGTCAATTCACGGTCTTGATACCAGGTCTTGAACTGAGTACCACGAGGATTTGAAGCATGATCACCGGTAACGTGATGCAAACGAGCATTAAAATCACCACAAAGGATGGTATCTTGTTGGAGAGGAACTGAGTCAAGGATAGCCACGGCTTGACTCGTGGAGAGGGAGGGCGGAATGTAGAAGCAGGAGATACGCAGTTGGCCAAACTGGAGACAGAGGGTATACGGATTAGGAGGAGGAAGGAGATTGACGGGGACGGGACAATCAGGATTGATGAGAGCTACAATACCATTTGAACCACGAACTTTTTTACCAGTGGGAGTGTTACGAGTAACGGGCTTCCCATAGGTATGAAATTCGGGCCAAGTAGTAGGGAGGGTATAGGGAGCAATCATCCAGGATTCGGTAATGAAGAGTATAGAGAAGGAGCGACAGTGGGAGAGGACATCGGCAACAGTAGTTGACTGTAAACCATTAGCGTTCCAAAGACCAATGGTTATATTATTGCACGGAGACAACACACTCATTGGGAGTGGCTGCCAACGGGCGCGTCAAATGTGGAATCCTCGGAGTCAGAGCCATACGCATTCTCATGAAATTCCTCGGGTTGTGAAGTATCAATATGCATAGGTTGAACCATAGCAAGGTCGTCTTGACCGTACATAGATGCATCAGTAGTAAAACCATTCAATAGAGCTTCAGCTGTAGAATCCCAGGACATAGTAGCACGCTTCTTGGTAGGGCGGGGCACACGTTCTTGAATGATACTCGTAGCAATTGCGGGTGAGAGCCAGCCTTGTTCTTGAAAGTACTTACTAATACTGGGAACCAAATAGGCGCGGACAAAGTACAGAGATCGGATACAACGGTCTTGATGTAAGGCAGCAGCGAGACTTTCTCTTTGAGGCACTGGCAGGTCAACAAACTTGGGATCTACCACATGTTTTTGGTCACGAGGATTAAAGTCAGGGATGACTGGAATCTTACATCTATCTAGAGTGGCCAAGAACTCAGTCTTGAACTCCTTATGGATGAGGATGCCAACCACCGAACGAGCAGGGAACGAAATGTCTAAAACACGGGCAGTAGAGATACCAAGGACACTAAAGCGTTGGCGGACGTTTTTACGGTCAAGGTTTCGAGAACGAGGTATATACACATGCGTATAACCGGAAGGCGAATCAGCTTCAGGAGGAAACGAGAAAGCACGTGCAGTTGCAAGAGTCTTGCGCTCAGAGAGAGGTACCTTAGCTTTACGCTTGACAACTTGAGTCCACTTTGGTTCAGCGACTGAAACAACCGTAGGAGTAACAGGCGAGCCAACAGTGGTCTTGGTAGCAGTGGTCTTGGTAACAGCGTTTGTGCGACTGGGAGTAACATTTACCTTTTCTTTTGAAGCATACTTACTAGCACTAGAGCCCAGGGAAGAAGCTTGACTTGAACCGGTGTGAATATCATCAATATTCATGGCAGTAGGGGCATCAGAAGTTGCAGTAACAATGGCTTGAAGCGACTTGATAAGGGCTTTCATATTGGTCAATTCTGCGCTGACACGTTGGTTCTCCGCTCTGAGTTCCTGAATCAGGTGATCTTGACGTGCTGACGTAGCATCAAATTTTGAGTTTAAATTTTCCAGGGCGGTCATAACACCTTGGAGAATTTTTTCAAAGTTGGAGGTGTCCATTTTCTAATTCCAAATAAAATCCAAAAGATGTAGTTATATTCAAATTCGGATATCTTCAGAAATAAAGGTGATCTATCTTCCAAAAAAAAATATGTTGTTCTTGGTTGACGGATGTATCTAACTAGGTACTTTTTATAGATGGATGGATACTTTCTAAAATAAAAAAATGCGGAGTTTCAAAAAATTTTATAAAAGTGTTAAAAAAGCGAAAGAGCATGCCCTGTTAGCTCAGTTGGTAGAGCGTGGGACTTTTAATCCCAATGTCGAGGGTTCGAGCCCCTCATGGGGCGCTTCATCCATTATTTTTTTTAAATTTTTTGAATAACGTGAGATGTTTAACTGTTAGATTTTGATATATTGTTGTCTCCTTCTTTTAGCGTTTTTGTTTGTTGTTATTCTTTTTTTATAACCTGTTTAATTTATCAATTTTATTAAATTAAGATATTATGAGAAGAAAACAGAACGAATGAGAAGATAAATTTTTGATTTGCCTTGAATAGCTTTTTTTTTGTGGAGACAAAGAGATTAATTGTTTGTTATGAAATAAGTTTTTTTATTATTTTTATTTTTATTTTTTTTTTTTTGTTATGATTTTGGCCTGTTATGATTTTGATTTAGAAATAAAAGAGCACTGGTTGTCTGATCTCAGTTATACGAGCTGATGGTGTCAGTACAGCATGTATTATAATTAGGGGATATACATATAATATACAGTTATTACATTTGTCTGATGAGTATAGTGATGATAAAATGATGATATATGCATTGCGGAACTTTAGCTTACTTATAGATAGATTTAACGGTTTTATTTTTGTCTAAAAAAATGTCTTAATACCTCTTTTTTTTGAAGCTATACTACCCAGGGATTTTAAGGTTATTATGATGGCGTATATAAAGTTTTACAAGTTATGTCAAAAGAAGAAACTATGTACCGATCAAGCTCCAATAATATAAGATTGTACAATTACTTTCTTTTCTTGGCAATTTACTCAAATTAGAAAAGTTCTAATTTTAAACAGGAACTTGTTTTGATAAATAGATTTTTATTTTAAGAAATTCAGGTACCAGTTTGTTTAGACAGAATCGTTGGAATAGCTATGGAATGTAAGTGAAAATGAGAGAGAGATAGTAATGGTATTTATAAAACAAAGATTTACAATAAACTATATATAAAAATATACTTTTTAGAATACTTAAAGTTAGTCATATATATATATATAAATACAAAAAAGAATTTTCTTTTATGTTCCACAGTACTGTATACATACATTTATAATATACAACGCTCTATTGTTACAACTATTGTCATTTTTTTCTTCTCTTATATATGTATTTTGTACAATATACTTCGTATATCCGCATGATTTATTAATTAATTGGTTTTTTAGTGTAATAAGTGTGGTCTAAAGTAGACATTATTTCTAATATCTGAGTGTAATGTCATTTAAAAAAAGTACATTGTTATTTGATTAAAACAAGGGGAAGGGTTGAACTTCAAAAAAAAAAAATTGATTTGCAATATGCTTATATAACAAACAAAACAGTTCAATTGAGACCCGGTTAATGTTTTAAAAGAGAGAACCAACTTTATAATTTAAACAAGGATTGAGTTAAAAAAGACCAAGATACACGTACGACACTATACAAGTCTGTGTTCCATTTCACTGCAATTTATACTTGGTCCCAGCTCAAGTTGTTTTTTTAGGTGCCACTTAAAATTAATGTTACCTAAAAAGAAGAGAAAGAGAGAGAGAGTACCAGACAAAGCGTTATATATATGTAATGTTCATCAAAGAAAGGGGGGAAGAGGCAAATAATAAAAAAGTTGTTTGTACTAAAAAAGACTTGCCTTGCAATTTTCACGAGGAAGAATAACAATCCTATCCCGTGGTTTTGTTGACACTCTCAAATTGTTTCATCATTTAGAATTTTTTTTTAAAAAAAAAGGTTATAATGGTACAAGCAAGCAAGGTAATATATATCTGGTCAGTGCGACAATGTGTTTGACCTATATCGATAACAGAGAGAGCCATTCCTTAAGAATAAAAAAAGAAAGATATGCACACCAATAAAAAAATAACAATGATCTAGACTTTATATCATGAGAAAGATGCGACATTTATTTACTAGGTATTATATCACTATTTATAATAATTTTTAATATAATATGATCAGGATTTTTTGTTACTATTATCCTCAAACAAATAATATTAAAAAAAGTATTAAAAGGTATCATATAAAACCTTTTATCCAATCAAAAAGATACCGTGAGTACAACCATAAAACTATTATGCAACAGTTTTAACGGAAAAGCCATATAGAGAGCTAGTTTTATATAATATATATTACATGTTTACAAAAACAGAAAAATGAGACTATACAGAAGAATGTGATTAGCTTTAGACTTGTATAATTTATTGCCACTACAACTTATACATATACAAATAATATCAGGTTGGATATTAAACAGGTAATATAATTAGAGTTTAGCGGAGGATATGACAATTTTAGTAAAACGCATCTCTTTTTTGTGTACAATCTAACTTTTAATGTATAATGACAAAAAAAAAAAAAAAAAAGAGAGAGAGAGATAGAGAGAGAATGGTGTAAAATACTCTTGTGATACGTATGTACACACATACACATACAGAATATTATCCAGGGCAGTTGAAATACATGTATACTTTTTAGACAGTTATAAATACATATATACAAAAGATTTATTATACATCTGTATTTTTACCCCTTTTTTCTATTCCGTAACTCAAACTAAAATAAAAAAGCTTGTTGACAAATTAAAGCTATCCGGATCGTTCATCCGGACGTTAGAATTTTTGGTTTATGATTTAGTGTGGTACAATTCTTTTTGGACCATTGGAAATAAGCCTTTTATTTTAGTCTGTGGGTAAAGCAAAACAAATTATTTCTTGTTTGTTTATTATTATTTCATTTCATCATGTGAATTAGCTATACAGAAAATAATAGAGAAAAATACAGTATGTATGAGTTAAAACTACATTTTTATCATATAAAACAAAAAAGTGTCGCTTCAATTAAAACAGCGATTTAACTTGCCCACGTACAAACAGGCAAAAGAAATAATATAAAAATCCCCTTACTTTTTTATATGTTTTATGCAAGTTGGACGTCAGCCCATTACGAAAAAAAAAAAAAGTTGAAACGCTCAAATCGTAAACATAAATAATTTCAGTTTCGTCATTTATATATTCTCTCTTTCTTTCTCTTTTTTTCTAACTTTTTTTTTTCTCTTTTCTTTTTCTTTTCCTTTTTTTTTTATTTTTATTACTCTGATATCCTAAATTATTCTCTATTATATATATATATATATTCATAGAATAAAAAAAAAAGAATTATATATATATATATAATAAAGCACCTACAACACAACTAACAAACCTTGTAATATAATAACATATAAAATTCAATGACTTCCACAGCTGTTAGGTACAACAAGATAATAATAGCAACAGTATCTATAGAAACAAAACTGATCGCATTTTTATTTTATTTTTAGAGTCGCATTACGTGTTCGACCTTTAACACAGAAAGAACATTTATCAAATTGTACAGAATGTATATCGTTTATACCAAATCAACCACAAATTCTAATAGGCAAAGATCATTCATTTACCTATGATTATGTGTTTGATACAAATTCACCACAACAACCTATATACGATAAAAGTGTCGTGCCTCTAGTAGAAAAATTTGTTGATGGGTAATGATAATGTAAAAAAAAAAAAAAAAAAAAAAAAAAAGATTTTCTCTAACAAATTATTTTGTAACACCTGAATAGTTTTAACGCAACAATCTTGGCTTATGGGTATGACAACAACAACAACAACATAATAATAATAATAAAATGTTTAAACTAAAAATATTTTATCTATTTAGTCAAACAGGATCTGGAAAAACATTTAGCATGGGAACAGCACTTGATGAATATACCAATTCAGAAAATCAAGGTAACTCATCTTTTTCATTGAACCAACTAAAAACGAAATAAATAAAATGCCTTATTAAATAATCATTTAGGAATTGTACCACGATTTATTTACGATTTATTTCACAGACTAGAAGAAAACAAGAAGGCAGGTTCAGTTCAAGATTTCCAAGTGTTTGTTTCATTTTTGGAATTATATAATGAAGACTTGGTTGATTTACTAAACCATCAAAAGAAACGTACTGGTCATGAAGTTCAAATTCGTGAAGATGTACATGGTCAAATCTATTGGAGTGGTGTAAGAGAAGAAGCCTGCGCTAACCCCAACGAACTTCTACAATACCTCTCTAAAGGGTCATTATGTCGTACAACCGGATCTACAGACATGAATTCCGTTTCTTCTAGATCACACGCTATCTTCTCCGTCATTCTTAAACAGCAAGTATCCGAAGAAGATCAGTTGCGTACCATTGTCAGCAAGTTCCATTTTGTCGATTTGGCTGGTTCCGAAAGAGTAAAGTCACTACTGTTTAATTGTTATGATTATTTTATTAACTCTTTTTTTTTTTATATAGCTTAAACGTACAAATGCACAAGGTGATCGTGCACGCGAAGGTATATCCATTAATTCTGGTTTACTTGCATTAGGCAACGTGATTAGTGCATTAGGCGATGACTCTAAAAAGACTGTTCATGTTCCATACCGAGATTCAAAATTGACTCGATTATTACAAGACTCATTAGGTGGTAACTCTCAAACTTTAATGATGGCATGTGTCTCTCCTTCCGATTCAAATTTTTTAGAGACCCTAAGTACATTAAAATACGCCAACAGAGCTCGTAATATTAAGAATAAGGTTCAAGTCAATCAAGAATTCACCGGTTCTTCAGTTGAAGTAAATCAACTTAGATCCCAAGTAGCCAGATTGAAGTTAGAGTTAAATGCTTTACGTGCTTCCTCTTCAGTAGCCAACAAGACACCTACAGATCTAATGCTTCAAAACATGAGTTGTGCAACTTCTAGTAATGCAGCTAAAGTATTAAAAGATGAAATCAATCGATTAAAATCACGTATTCAAACCATGTCTGATGATATCTGTCGTCTTACGACTGAAAGAGATTCTATTTTGATGGAACGTGAATTAAGTCAACATATGGGAACTGAAGAATGGCCACAATTAATAGATCAGTTGAATCGTAGACCTTCTTATTTCGAAACAAATCAGACTACAATACCCATTATTGGTCAATATCAAAAGACCATTCAAGACTTGCGTAATGAATTAGCAGATACACAAGAACGTTTAGCGTTTTCTGAATCCATTC